GACGACCCGGAAATTACAACTTGTCCAATGTTCAGCAGCCAGACTAATAACTGGGGCAACTTACAGGGAACGATCAACCCCCCTGTTTAAGGAGCTCCACTAGCTGCCATTTATTTCCGGTCCCAATTCAAGGTACAGGTTATCACCTATAAAGCCCTAAACAGTTTGGGACCCTCCTACCTTCATGACCGTATCTCTCTCCATGGACCATCTCGGGTCCTCCGTTCTTCTGGGGAGGCCCTTCTTTCACCCCTGCCAGTCTCCCAGACTCATCTGGTGAGTACAAGGAAGAGAGCTTTTTCCTCTGTGGCTCCCCGACTCTGGAACTCACTTCCTGGAGAGATTGGGAAAGCCCCTACCCTAGAAACCTTTAAAAAGAACCTCAAAACCTGGCTCTTCCACTGCGCATTTGATGAATAGATTTATATCCTCATACTAGTGCTTAGTTTTAACGGTTTCTGTTATTGGAGTGCATTCCCCCCATAGGAAAGCTTTGCTCCACGACCTCCACTAAAATGAGCTCTCCTCCGCAAATAACCTGTCCTTGTTTATCTCGTGTTTATCTCGCCTGAGTTTTTAATCTGTTTTTACCCAGTTCTCTTTTATCCATTACATGTAGCTCACCCATTTTATTGTGACTGTGTTTATTGTAATTTTATATTGCTATGTTGTCTTTTGTTTTCTGTAGTTGCGCTATTATTGTTTATTATTTGCGTTTTCGGTTTTGTTTTACTTTATGTAATTGTTGTTTTGGGCTTGGCCTCATGTAAGCCGCACCGAGTCCCCATCGGGGAGATGGAGCGGGGTACAAATAAATATTATTATTATTATTATTATTATTATTATTATTATTATTATTATTATTAAAACCCCATGAAATTTCATACTCCATAAATCAATAGGAAAGTTGCATTTGTATGCCACCTAGCTTACAGAGTGAGATACAATGCAATTTCCAGCTAGGCTGGTGTCTTCCCTTTCCATCTGTGCTGCCTTTTCTGATGTGGAAAATGATTGTCAATAGTGGGAAGAATAAGTCATGGCAATAGTCTTAGGAAGTGAAAAGTCTTTCAAAAAGGGTTTTAAGAGTAAGCTTGGGAAAGAGCTGTGACTCAATAATAGAGGATGGAGTCTATGTGCCAAATGTGTCCCAAGGTCGGCTTGTGGCATCTGCAGGCAGAACTAGAGGAAATCTCGGGCAATCTTTCTGTAGAGTTTGTCTGCTTCACATAACAAATTTCTTGTAAGAGCAATGCTTTTATTGTGCGGACAAGAGACAAAGCCAGGGAATACTATTTATTTTTGTTAGGTTTTTTGAAGGTTCAGGGAAAAAGAAACCAAAATGAAGCACACATGTGGATGTTTAGATACATGAAACTGAAAACTCCACAGCTACATACTATCTACTACCTCAAGGCTACAACTAAATGACTAGTAGTAAAGGTTTTCTCCTGACATTAAGTCCAGTTGTGTCCAACTCTGGGGGTTAGTACTCATCTCCATTTCTAAGCCGAAGAACCGGCATTGTCTATAGACACCTCCAAGGTCATGTGGCCGGCATGACTGCAAGGAGCGCCGTTACTATTACAAATAACAAACCTGGAAGACTAACAAAAACAAGAAACAAATGTCTGCAGACTTCCCCTTCTCAACCAGAAGATTGTTATCCCTTGTTGGTGTTGGTGTAAAATAATATGATTATAGTTGCACTTCTACTTTTGGCAACACTTTACTAATTTGTGAATCTGACAGTTGACAAATATCCTCACCATTGTGAAAAGATAAGAAATAAGTCCCAATTTTCCTTAACGTTAGTAAAAGAGTCCTCCTTTATCAGCATAGTCAAATTGTCCACCTCTGCTAATTCAGCCATTCTTCTTGCGTTGTGATAATTGCTTCCTTCCATCTCTAAGCATAGATAATTCTTGTGGCAGGCATATATTGTAATAACGGCTTACCCAGACCACAGTCTTCTAACCCACACATTGCTTTAGATTCTCTCTGCCAGGCTTCGGCTTACAGAGCTGATGGAGCGACTGAAGTTTTCGTATGGAGACTCTTGTCTCTGTTGCCTACAGATGAAAGCACAAAAATTAATGCCAATTGCATTGGAGAGAACTTTATTTATTTCCTGAGGATTTGGTAGAAAGAAGAGTATCACCATGTTGATCTCACTGACTGCCTTCTCCACATTACTTTTGATTACAAAGAAAAAGAATCAAGCAGTTCCTAACTGTCCCACATAGGTATATAGCAGATTTGGATTGACTTCTTCAATCCATAAAGGGTGACACTAAAAATACTCAACAATGATCCATCAGAAAAGGTGTATTCTGACGTGCCAACACTGCAACTTGCTCACAAATTTTTATGTCTCCATGTGCCCTTCCACACGGCCCCATATCCCAGAATATCATGGCAGAAAATCCAACATTATCTGACTCGGATAACCCAGTTCAAAGCAGATATTGTAGGAGTTTCTGCCTTGATATTCTGGGATATAGAGCTGTGTGGAAGGGCCCCCAGAATCTATGTGAAAAATAGTGGAAATACAAAGTTGGGAAGACTTGCTGGCCAGTATAAAAGGAATAGCTTGGGACACATAGAGTCTTTCCAAGAAGACTGACCCGTTTTGAAATATTTGTTTCTGAGGGCCTTTCTACACAACCAGATAACTCAGAATATCAAGGCAGATGATCCACAATATCTGCTTTGAACTGGGTTATCTGAGTCCACATTGCCATATAATCCAGTTCAATATGGATTTTGTACAGCTGTGTGGAAGGGGCCTGAGTTTCCAATATCTGGGGTGGTGGAAGGAGTTTTGGGTTTTTATCCAAACTTCACAAGAGTTACCTAAAGTATTAATGACCTAGAATAGGTCATTAAGCAGACATGAAAAACTAGAAAGTGGATAGTAACCTGTTCCTGCTATTCCAGTTTCTACATTGCACAATTAATGCAGCTTGACACTACTTTTAATTGCCATGGCTCAATGAAAAACTGGGATTTGTAGCTTGGTGAGGCCCTTACTTACTTAGGTGATGATCCCTCATTGTCCAAGTAGGATTGTCTTCCAAGATCGGTGTACTGGCGGTGGGTCCATGGGTGACTGTGGAGCCCTGTTCTTGATCTGCATCATCTCCCGCTATGAGGGCATTGGTTTCCAGGTGGAAGGCGGTCCCAGATGGGGTTGGCTTGACGCACCTTCCTCTTGGCACATTTCTGTCTTTTGCCCTCCATTTGTGCCTCTTCAAATTCTACAGCACTGCTGGTCACAGCTGACCTCCATCTGGAGTGCTCAAGGGCCAGGGGTTCCCAGTCCTCAGTGTCTATGCCAGAGTTTTTAATGTTGGCTTTGAGCCCATGTTTAAATCTCTTTTCCTGTCCTCCAACATTTCATTTTCCATTCTTGAATTCGGAGTAGAGCAACTGCTTTGGGAGACAGTGGTCGGGCATTTGGACAACATGTCCGGTCCAGTGGAGTTGATGGTGGAGGATCATCACATTGATGAAAATGCCATATAATACCAGTGCTGCAACATTTACATTGGTTTCCAACTGAGTACCGTGGCCTGTATAAGATGTTAGTTCTGACCTTTAAAATTCTTTACGGCCAAGGGCCATCGTACCTTAGGGACCGCCTCTCCTTCTCCCATCATCGGAGGTCACAACGACCAGCCCAACATGACTTACTCTATATACCGGGTCCTAGAGAAGTGCACTTGGAAAGGACCAGACGCAGGGCTTTTTCTATTTCTTCCCCTGCCTTATGGAATTCCTTGCCACCCTATATGAGAGCCATGCGTGACTTCGGACCTTTTACTCTCGCACTTAAGACCTGGCTTTTTACTAGAGCATTCGATCTCTGTTAATTTTTAAATTCTATATGTATGTATTTTATCTTTTACAATTTAGCTGTAAATCGCCTACAGCATTCTCAGATGGATGGCGATTAATCAGTATTAAATATGATGAGGATGATGATGATGATGATGATGATGTACACATTGACAGGGAAGGCTAATGACCTTGCAGAACTATAGCTCCCATGATTCCACAGCACTGAGCCATGATAACTAAAATGGCATCAAATCGTATTCCTTCTACCCTGTAAATGCACCCTAGGTCTAGGCAGGGAATATAAACTAATTTAGGTTTATACAATCTGTCTAACTCATTGGTTCCCAACCTTTGGTCCTCCAGGTGTTTTGGTCCTCCAGCTCCCACTATTCCTAACAACTGGTGAGATGGCTGAGATTTCTGGGAGTTGAAGTCCAAAACATCTGGAGGACCAAAATTAGGAACCACTGGTCTAGGTTTATAGGGTTAGCTGAGGAAACCAGAGCCTTCCAGATGTTGGATTCTAACCCTCATCAGCCCAACTTGCCAATAGTCAGGGATGAAGGGACTTTATGTGCAACAATATCTGCAGCAAAGGGTGGGCAACCATAGAAGGATATTGGGGCTGCATTACCCCCATGAGCATATCCCCTATTACAAAAAACAAAAACAGAAAAACAAACCCATATATTTTTTACTTTAATTGTCTTTCATTTCCCTTTAGGGGAGGTTTTTCCATCATGTCGTTGGAGTTATGACTTGTCCAGATTAATGTGTATGGGTTGTGACTGGAGACAGTTGAATTTTCTGAGTCATCAAAGCAATTTCTGTCCTGAACTCTGTGAAACCCTTTGCAAGGAGCGCTGACTCAGCCCATCTCAAGCCAGACTCACCAGTTGTGCCAATGATCCTGCTGTGCTCGGATGAGTATTGTAGCGCTAACAATCCTGTCCAGGCGCCAGTGGCATCCTTTTTGGTTTTTAGGACATGGAAAATTGTATGCTTGTTGAGCACATGGCTTCTGGACAACCCTCTCTTTTCCAGCACCTGTCCCTAATCGTCTTCCTAAAATGAGCTAGCCTTAATGGATTTATGTGACATCTGAAGTGGAAATGAAAGCATTTCCTTACCGTGAAAGGGTCGTGGTGGCTATAAATCTATCTGCAATGCAGGGAGAGAGAAAAACAGAGAAATGTTAGCATTCTCATAAACTATACCATTGAGTAAATGTTTGAGTGAGAATCAGAAGCAAATAATAATAATAATAATAATAATAATAATAATAATAATAATACGTTAAAAAACAAAGTTTGGATTGTTGATGCCGCAATCCCAGATGACAGCAGGATTGCAGAGAAACAACTGGAAAAGCTGACACGATATGAGGTTTTAAAAATCGAACTGCAAAGACTCTGGCACAAACCAGTAAAGGTGGTCCCAGTGGTGATCGGCACACTGGGTGCAGTGCCTAAAGACCTTGGCCTGCACTTAAACACAATTGGTGCTGACAAAATTTCCATCTGCAGAAGGCCACCTTACTGGGATCTGCATGCATTATTCGTCAATACATCACATAGTCCTAGACACTTGGGAAGTGTCCGACGTGTGATCCAATGCAACAGCCAGCAGAGTGTCTGCTGTGGACACATCTTGTTGTGTATCAAATAATAATAATGATAATAATGCTTTATTTATACCCTGCCACCATCTCTCCAAGGGGACTCGGGGCGGCTTACATGAGGCCAATACAACAATGCAAATATACGACAACAAAATATAATATAATATAATAAATACAAGAAACAGTATAAATAAACACATCACACACATTATAGAAGAGAATTAAAAGTGACCGCATGGGCCATCAGGAAAAGCACAAAGCAGCCCTGACAGATGGCCATCCAGGCTCTGTTTAAAAGCTTCCAAGGAAAGAGCTTCCACCACACTCCAAGGCAGAGAGTCCCACTGTTGAACAGCTCTTGCGCTCAGGAAGTTCTTGCTAATGTTCAGGTGTAATTTCCTTTCTTGTAATTTGAATCCATTGCTCCTAGTCCTAGTTTCCAGGGCAGCAGAAAACAAGTCTGCTCTTTCTTCCTAATGACATTCAACCCATGTTCATATCGCATGTACTTAAATTATTACTGTTTTCTTCTTCTTTTGTGTTCCCTTTGCCCCATTCTTTGTAAATGTCCTTTAAAAATTAAAATGATGATGATGATAATATACCTACCTCCTTTCCAGAAGGCCCCTATCCCTAATATCACCACCAGAGCCAGCAGTTTTATCCCCAGGGCTACGAACAAGAGGATGAGAATCCAAGAGCCACTCCCAGCTTTGAACTTGTAAAAATACACTGCCCCTTCCGCATGTCCAAGGCTGTTGGCGGCAATGCAAGTGTATTTCCCATCAAGGACCAGGTGCTGAAGCTCCTTGGTTATCTGATGTGCCGTTGGCCTGGAGACTGAAGTCACGTTGTCAGATAGAGGGCCAGCCCACGTCACGGTCGGGAGTGGTTCTCCTTCGGCTGTACACTTGGCATGGAAAGCATGCTCTTGGTCCATCTGGACAGAGATGTTCACAATCCTGGGAGGTGCTACCCAAAACATAAGGGACAAAGTCTTGTTCAGATCTCCAGCATGTCTATTGGACATTTTTGTCTGATGCAGAGCATGGCCACTCAATTTAAGGCTGGGGAATTGAATTGACTGCCCATGCTCAGCATTAGACCAAATGTGGTGCCATTTCACATGGATGTTCATTGTGTATAGATGTGTATTACACATGGGGCACTGTTTTGCATGAGTGCACACATATACTTACTTGTACACTATGACCTCCATATACCAGATTTCCTCTATCCACATTTATTTATTTATATTATTTAGCAGTTTTGTATATCGGTCTTCTCACCTCCGTTCGAGGGACTCAGGCCGGTTTCCAACATCAATATTACAGACAGTCATTAAAACATCATATTCTAAATCACACTAAAACATTAAAATGGCAAAATACAATCATATAATTATAGTGGTCAGTAGTAATCAAAAATCATTATTCGTTGTCATCCATCCATATCACAGGATCATGGCTCATTTGTTGAATGCCAATCCCCAAAGCCAGGTTTTCACCTGTTTCCTGAACGTTAAGATAGAAGGTGCTGTTCTGATCTCCAGTGGAAGGGAGTTCCAGAGTCGAGGGGCCACCACCGAGAAGGCCCTGTCTCTCATCCCCACCAGCCGCGCCTGTGAGGCCGGTGGGATCGAGAGCAGGGCCCCTCCAGACGATCTTAGCAATCTTGATGGTTCATAGGGGAGGATACGTTTGGACAGGTAAATTGGGCCGGAGTCGTTTAGGGCTTTATAGGTTAAGACCAGCACTTTGAATTGTGCTCAGAAGCTGACTGGCAGCCAGTGGAGCTGGCGCAACAGAGGAGTAGTATGCTCCCTGTACCCTGCTCCTGTTAGTAGTCTGGCTGCCACACGTTGGACTAATTGAAGCTTCCAGGCAGTCTTCAGAGGCAACCCCACGTAGAGAGCGTTGCAGTAATATAACGGGATGTAACCAAAGCGTGGACCACCGTGGCCAAGTCAGACTTCCCAAGGTACGGGCGCAGCTGGCGCACATCCAACAAAATATGACTCCTGTAGGCATTGTCTAGGTTCTAGACAAACTGAGGGTCAGAGCAAACTCTATTGAAATAAAGAGCATCATGACTCTGGCATTCTTGGGCCAAAACTCTTTATTTCAGTGGGGCTCGATATGGCCCTCAGTTTGATATGTCCACACAAAATTTAGGAACATGTTCCCCATGGATACAGTGATCATACTATAAATTCAGTTGTCACATGTAGGGGCCGTTCTGGTCCATCTTAAAAACTGGAGGAAATAATATTATGGCTCATGAATGGAAGACTGAAGAAGGAGACAGAAGGCCTGATTTTTGCAGCCCAGGAGCAAGCCATTAGAACAAATGCCATTAAGGCCAGGATTGAAAAGTCCGCTGATGACTCAAAATGCAGACTGTGCAAGGAAGCTGATGAAGTCATGGATCATATCCTCAGCTGCTGCAAGAAAATTACACAGATGGACTACAAACAAAGACACAACTCTGTGGCCCAAATGATTCACTGGAACTTATGTCACAAGTACCACCTGCCAGTAGTAAAGAACTGTTAAAAGGGATCATAAACCTGCAAAGGTAGTGGAAAATGAACACCCTAAAATCGAATCCAGACTGACAAAGTTTTGGAACACAATACGCCAGACATCATGATTGTGGAAAAGAAAAAAGTTTGGATTATTGATGTCGCCAAACCGAGTGACAGCCTCATTGAGGAAAAACAACGGGAAAAACTCAGCCGTTATCAGGACCTCAAAATCGAACTGCAAAGGCTCTGGCATCAACCAGTACAGGTAGTCTCAGTGGTCATTGGCACACTGGGTGCCGTGGCAAAAAATCTTAGCCAGCATTTGAAAACAAATAAACATTGACAAAATCATGATCTGTCAACTGCAAAAGGCCACCTATCTTAGATATCATAGAGTTGGAAGAGACCTCATGGGCCATCCAGTCCAACCCCCTGCCAAGAAGCAGGAATATTGCATTCAAAGCACCCCTGACAGATGGCCATCCAGCCTCTGTTTAAAAGCTTCCAAAGAGGGAGCCTCCACCACACTCCGGGGCAGAGAGTTCCACTGCTGAACGGCTCTCACAGTCAGGAAGTTCTTCCTCATGTTCAGATGGAATCTCCTTTCTTGTAGTTTGAAGCCATTGTTCCGTGTCCTAGTCTACAGGGAAGCAGAAAACAATCTTGCTCCCTCCTCCCTGTGACTTCCTCTCACGTATTTATACATGGCTATCATATCTCCTCTCAAACTCCTACTTGGATCTGCATGCATCATTTGAAAATACATCACACAGTCCTAGACGCTTGGGAAGTGTTCGACTTGTGATTTTGTGATACAAAATCCATCATATAGATCTTGTTTGCTGTGACATACTGTGGCCTTGTCTCAGTAAAAAAATAAATTAATACTAACTACTACTACTACTAATAATAATCCATCACACAGTCCTAGACACTTGGGAAGTGTCCGACATGTGATCCAATACAACAGCCAGCAGAGTGACCTTGTTTGTTGTGTACTAATCTTGTGTTTCTATAATAATAATAATAATAATAATAATAATAATAATAATAAACATTATTTGTATACCACTCTATCTTCCCAAGGGGACTCAGGGCAGTTTCCAGCATAGGTAATGCATTCAATTATCAACACAAAGTTATACAAAATAACCATTATAAAACATAAACGCAATACTATTAAAATAGTCATAACATATTGTATTCAATTATTCACATATAATTAACATTATTAAATTGGAATAATAATAAGTAGCAGTAATAATAATAATAATAATAATAATAATTTCCTATATTTTAAAAGCCTTCTGCTCTAAAATAACCTGTGGGCAACATGACAAAAGTGCCCCGCATATCCCTAAAAGATTTTGGAATGGGGATTGGTGTCTGATTGTACTTGTCAAATTGTTGGAGGGTACAACCAGCTCTTCCATATCCATGGATTCTGCACCCCCAGATTTTACTATTCACATCTTGAAAATATTAAGCAGCCACCATCAAAAATAATTCCATAAAGCAAACTTTGATTTTACCATTTGATATAAGCAACACAATTTTACTACACCATTGTATATAATGGGACTTAAGCATCTATGGATTTTGGTATTCATGGAGGGCCCTGGAACCAAACCTCAGCACATACCAAGAGCCCACTGTATGTGGCTCAATAGATTTAGTTGAGTTTACAACCATAGGATTCAGGCCTAAATCTGAAGAACTCTAATTGTGATATATTTGGATATGGTTGCCATCATTTGAAGCAGAGCAACCACAATCTGATAAGAGCCTAAAACTCAACATTCACAATTGTCTCACTGCTAAGAAATGGATACAAGCCAAGGTCTTCTTACCTATGAGGTGGAGCCGGATTCCCATCCGGCTTTCATACTTGTCATGAAGATCCCCAGAGAATTCAACTCGGCAGAAGTATCTGTTGCTGTCGTTCCAGGAAACTTGATCAATCTGGAGTGAAAGATTGTTTTGCCTTGGGTTCCCCAAGAGCTTGTATCTGTTCTTCAAGCCAACGGTGGTTCTGCAGACATCACTGGAACTGTGTGCGATGCACTTGAAAATCACTGTCCCATTATAAGGCTCCTTCACCCGCCAAATAGCAGTCAAGGTTTTGTCGTACGTGGAGTGTGGGTGTGTGAAAGTGCAAGGCAAGGCAACCGTCTTGCCAATTTCACTAGTCACTTCTGCTGGGACATGCATAGACCAGCCTTTGGAGGAGATACCTGAAAGCAATGGAACATCCCTAGTTAACATAGGGTACATCTACAGTGTAGAATTGATGCAGTTTGACACCACTTTAACTACCACCGGTCAATACTGTGCAATCGTAGGCATTGTAGTTTTTATAAGTTCTTTACAGTGGTAGTGCTTCACCAAACAACTCTGAGCAGAAGCATCAAGCTGCATGAATTCTAGATGCATCATAAAAATCTGGTGACAGATACCAATATGCTTAGTGAATATAAAGTTTTAATGTCACTCCCTTGCATTTCTGACCAGAAATATCCACTCCAGACCTAATTTTACCAATCTAGTGGGAATACAGCAACAGGGAAATGTGATCAAGGGAAAAGTTGAGTACCACTGCTCTTCCTCTGCTTTCAACAGAGAAGATGGCATCTAGACCATTTTTGACTATGATCTCACATTGTGTGGTTTTAATAATGTGTTTTGATCTTTATATGATTTTAAATGCATGTTTAGATGTATATGTTTATCATATGTCTGCTGTGTATATGGCATCGAATTGTTGTTCAATGCTTGGAAATATAGTATGGACCACAGTGGCAGACCCACCTTTGGCACTGCATCATTTCCAGAAATCTCAGGATTTCAAGGAACTCTAAGATTATCAGCTAAGATAACATATCTGCCTAGCTGGGGTTGACCATATAGATGCCACTAAAACACATCTCCCATGTCTCTCTAGGGCAGTGGTTCCCAACCTATGGTTCGTGGACCACCAATGGTCCACAAGAACGAAAATATTGTCCATGGCCTCACCATTAATACATCATTGCCTCTAAACCACATGACAATTAGAGTGACTGGTCTCGCAAAAGCCTCGTATAGTGCTGAGACAAACGGGGATGTTGTGCTGACTACCCACGAAAGATTACTACTACCACACCAGCTCTAGATGATTAAATATGGTTTTCTCTTGGCAACTACTGGACGGCATATGTTCTGTATCAGAAACTAGAGCTGATGTGGTCTATCCAATGCAATTTTCTGAATCAGAACCCCAAATAACCAAACCATATCTAAAGTTGACCAAAGACTGATTTGTAAGCCTTTTGGTACTAAGGCTTACGAATCAGTTGACCAGGGATCACTTTTGTTCAAGTGGTGCCTGGTCAAGTGGTGCCTGGTCAAAGTGGTCCCTGTTCAAGTGGTGCCTGGTCAAGTGGTCCCTGGTCAAAGTAGTCCCTGGTCAAATGGTTCCTGGTCAAAGTGGTTACTGATCAAAGTGGTCACTGATTAAAAAAAGTTGGGAACCCCTGCTCTAGGGTTTATGGGAATTGTAGTTCAAGAGCATCACAAGGCCTAAGCATTCCTCTAACTGGCCAAAGTCAGTGGTCTTCTTGATAGAAGAACTTGCTGATCTACTACAACTATGATATCTCCCCTCTGCTCAGTTCCACAGGCATTGTGACAGTTCTGCATTTCCATTTCACTGTTGAAAACTGGGACACATGTAGTCCAGCAACGTCTCAGTGTGATCAAAAGGTATCACTAAGGAATAACACACAAGCAAGGAGAGACCTTTGCTTGGGACTTCCTGGTCTCTCTCTGCTGCTGAATTAACTGAGCACCAATTACTTTTGCATTTTCAATTCTGTTTGCAGCTGTTTGCACTGCAGTTAACTGAGGACAAAGGTAAATGTGGGAGGAGGAGAGAAAAGCAGGAACATTTTTAAAACAGCAGGAAAAGGTGAGAAGACAGAGGAAAAATTGAGAGTCTCCCAGTCAGAAGGGTATGGAGTTCAAAGACTGACATGGCACAAAAGGGAGAAAGTTGCAAAGCAAAACTCACCTTTCTTCACAATGCACAGGAAGCAAAAGAGAAAGAAACCTCTGCTTTCCATCTTCTTGCCCCTTTCCTATGTTAATTTCCTAGTCCGACCTGATCCACGCTGTGTTCACAATAGGGCAAAATGCTGAAATGGCAATTTCTTTGCTGTCGAATGGAGGCAGCTGGACTTTCCCTCGTTTAGGAAGAGATGAGTTCATTCAACTGCTTGGAAAATGGTCCTTCTGATTCACTCTCCATGCTACAGTATCACGAGTAGGGAAGCCACGGAAAGAAGACATCGCCAAATTATATGTTTTTGCAAGATTGGGACTAAAATGAATTGATTTATGCCAATTACCTGTGCCAGTAGCTCATTATAGATGAAAACCAGTTTATATGAATCACAAATAATTCTTTGAGTGGGTTGTTGTAGGTTTTTTCGGGCTATATGGTCTAGAGGCATTCTCTCCTGACGTTTCGCCTGCATCTATGGCAAGCATCCTCAGAGGTAGTGAGGTCTGTTGGACCTGTGTGACTGTTCTTTGAGTGACTTGTTTGTTGTCAGTGATAGTCGGTGGCTTCTGTGCCAATGGATTGATGAATCTCCTCCATGATTTTAAGTCTGATATTTTGAAGATATTTTAAAGAGTCACCCAGAAGATTTGAGTCTGTTTCAAAGACAGAAGTCAAATTCTGAGATACTTTAAAATACAACCCAATTGACATGGAAATCACCAGCAGCCACCCTTACTTGTATTACCTGTGATCAACAATTTCAGGGAGTAAATAAACTTAACTAGATCAAAAGTTAATCAGCTTCAAGGCTGTTGTGATATCTCATTTGATGAGAAATATTAATGACTGGGTTGTTGTAGTTTTTTCGGGCTGTATGGCCATGTTCTAGAGGCATTTTCTCCTGACGTTTCGCCTGCATCTATGGCAAGCATCCTCAGAGGTAGTGAGGATGCTTGCCATAGATGCAGGCGAAATGTCAGGAGAAAATGCCTCTAGAACATGGCCATACAGCCCCAAAAAAACTACAACAACCCAGTGATTCTGGCCATGAAAGCCTTCGACAATACAATATTAATGACACTTAATCTATTGTCTTGTATTCAAAGCATTATGATGGATTAATTTGGTATGCTTTAATAATAGCTCTGTGAATCTGGTCAGTGGTGTTATTCTTAATACAAACTCACAATGGTTGGCATTGTCTCAATTTTTTTTACCCACATGTAAGTTCTCTTACACATGGAATGGTGGCTTTTTGGTCGTAGTATAATATTGATACTTACTTAGGCGATCCCTCATTGTCCGAGTAAGATTGTCCCCCAAGGTTGGTGTACTGGCGGTGGGTACGTAGATGACTGTGGAGCCCTATTCTTGACCCTCATATTCTCCTGCAGTGAGGGCATTGGTTTCCAGGTGGAAGACGATCCTGATGTTTCACCATTCTGTGGGAGGCTATTCTCATATCCCTGTATGAGAAGCTGGAGCTGACAGATGGGAGCTCACCCCGCTCCCCGAATTCGAACCTCCGACCTTTCGGGTTTAACCCATTGCGCCATTGAGGGCTCCTGGCAGGGTCCTTTAACAACCTGTTTCATGTGTAAAAATATTATGACTGTTGTACAAAATTACCTTCAGCCTATGTGTATTAAGCGTATTTGAAGCAGAAATAAATTTCATGTTTAGACTTGGGTAACATCTTCAAGATATGCTATGATGTACGTATACGCGAATACAGGTATTCCAAAATCTGAAAATTACCATCTACCTGAAATCCCAAACACTTCTGGTCCAAAGCAGTGTGAATAAGGGACATAATGTACCATCAGTGCTCCTGGGCTAGAAGCAACCGTGTTGTGTGAGACTCAACTCTATCCCTTGGGCCAACCTTCTGTGCATTTCCTACAATGACCTTGCTGAACTCCACGGTCAAATTAAAGGCTTATTTCGCCTGTTTTCCCTTCCTGTTTCCTTATTCGCCCTGGTTATTTGCTTATTCACTTTTTTTAAATTTCATTCTGTCGATCTTCCGCAATCTCTGCACAGATTTCGTATTGTTAATGACTGCGGTCGGGTTGATAGAGCACCCGGCCCCATTTCGTAAGGTTGTAAATGGCCGACTGTGTGCTTTTCTATTCTATAAAATTTGTCTGGCACTTTTGCGATGTAGTGGGAGGTGAATAATAATAATTGTTCTATTTAAAGAGAGCAGTGGAATTTCCCCAGCAAGGAAATTTCCACTCAGCCAAGCTGCCAGAAGCTGTGATGCCTTAGCAGAAAGTCTAGATGTCACTCCCAGGATTCCATAGCTCTGAGCCATGGCAGTTAAAGTTATATCAAACTGCATTAATTCTGCAGCATAGATGCACCCAAGGAGGGTCAAATGAGAAGGTCTGAGTGAATCTTTTGGAGTAGACTTGTAGAACCAATTGTTGAATGATGAACTAATATATAGGTAAATCCAGTTGATTCATTGAGACTACCCTTGTGGAGAGTTAAAATAGGATTCAGATTTGTAATTAACTAACTTGGGTATCTGTGCTGCCCGGTTATTTGAAAAAGTCAATTTATTAATTGTACAAAATGCATAAGGTTGTGGGTGAACTACAACTCACATCATATCAGGCTAACCCCATGAAACTCCATCAGTACTTAAAGTTTGCTATGTTGGGCAAGTTTGCTCTAGATGCATCATCGGTGGGATTCGGTGTGCTCTCTGGCTGTAGGGTAAACTACAACTCCCACTATGGCGAGTCAGTCCCCTCAAACCCCTCTGGTAGGTTGAGTTAGTCATGGGGCTTCTGTGTGTCAAGTTTGGTCCAGGTCCGTCATTGGTGGATGTCACCATTTCTCTGTTTGTGGGTGAACTACAACTCCCAGAAAGGAAGGTTAGTTCCCCCAAACCCTTCCAGTAATCATAGAATAATAGATTCATAGAGTTGGAAGAGACCTTGTGGGCTAGCCAGTCCAACCCCCTGCCAAGAAGTAAGAAAATTGCATTCAAAGCACCCCAGACAGATGGCCATCCAGCCTCTGTTTAAAAGCCTCCCAAGAAGAAGCCTCTACCACACTCTGGGGCAGAGAGTTTCTCTGCTAAACGGCTCTCACAGTTAGGAAGTTCTTCCTAATGTTCAGATGGAATCTCCTTTCTTGTAGTTTGAAGCCACTGCTCCGTGTCCTAGTCTCCAGGGCAGCAGAAAACAAGATTGCTCCCTCCTCCCTATGATTTGAAACATATCAGGTATGTGTGCCAAGTTTGGTCCAGATCCATTGATGTTTGTGTTCATAGTGCTCTCTGAACGTAGGTGAACGTCTACTCCCCCAACTCAAGGTGAAATTTCCCCAAAGACCTCCAGTATTTTTTCTGGTCATAGACACTTTATGTACCAAGTTTGGTCCAATTCCATCTTTGGCGGAGTTCAGAGTTCTCATTGATTGCAAGTGAACCACAACCAGGGGTGCCTCAACCCATTACGCAAAGTAAGCATCTACAGTATAGTTGATTTTGCCCAGGGGCGCTCTTGAGGCGCTCTTGGGGGAAAATACACCTTGACATATGCAAGTTGTAGTTACTGAGATGTATAGTTCACCTACAATAAAAGAGCATTCTGAACTCCACCAATGATGGAATTGAACCAAATATGGCACACAGAACTCCCACGACGAACAGAAAATATATTTCAGTGATTGGTTGGGGGGGGGGGGGCAAAATATTGTTTGTTTACCATTGAAAATTACCTAGGGCCACTTTTGACCACAACTCCAAAATGCCCAGACCAATTCCCCTCAAAACCTACCAGTATTCAAATCTGGGCATATTGGGTATGCATGCCAAGTTTGGTCCAGATCCATCATTGTTTGGATTCATAGTGTTCTTTGGATGTAGGAGAACTTCAACTCCTATACATCCCTCCAAAGACCTCCGGTATTTTTTTGTTGGCCATGGGGGTTCTGTGTGTCAAGATCGTTCCAGGTCCATCATTGGTGGAGTTCAGAGTGCTCTTTGATTGCAGGTGAACTATACATCCGAGGACCCACAACTCATATAAATCACTGTGAATTCTCCCCAAATCTCTCTAGTATGTTCAGTTGCTGATCAATTCCTCAGTTTGCTGTGTGTCATAGAAAAGAATCGTGTGCTGGTACGGCTGTACCAGGAGCTCCAACTTTATTTTCTTTCTGTTATCTGTTTGTAGTCATAGTGCCCTATGCTTCCTGTCCATCATAATTAAGCTTTGGTTCTGCCCCTTGTTCAGGGCTCTGGTAGGGAAAGGAGCCATTTTTGGGCAGTCTCACATAAGGAAGCTAGACTATAGGACGTAGACCAGCTCATCCCGTAGAAAACCTTCTTTTCTCAATAGCATCCAGGGAAAAGGAACATCCGGGGAAGCAGAAACAGAAATTCCAGGGAAAAGGTCCCAAGGCTCTGGCTGAGAGCTCACAGCCTCTCAGCCTCACAGCAAACAGAGGGAAAACAGCCCTGAAGTTCTCAAAGAATTCTCTGAGGGAGGACAGCACTACAGATCCACGGAACTCCAGCTGAAATATCTTCAAGCTTTGGCTGGTAGGTCTACTCGATACCCAGACACATTTGGAATCAGTAGTAGGACCCATATCGATGAGGCATAGATAGTAAACAGCCTGGGGGAGGTTAAAAAGGGTTTTTCCTACAGAGAAGGTTCAGTTAATCAAAGTCAGGTACCAGCCCATTGATGACTAGACTAAGAAAGCCTTGAAGTGTTGTTTGAACCATTGAAGATTTGTTGTTTGTTCCATAATAAAGACTTTGTTGTATCTTTAAAGACTCTAAGACCATCACTTCAGAAAAATCCCTGAGAACCTCTCTTTGAGGCGCACTGGCTTCCTGCTGGGCTTGAAGTATACGTCCTATAGAAAAGACAGCTGTTACAGGCCCAGAACAAACAGAAAGGGGTTATGGAAGAGGCAGTGGGCGGGGGCATGCAAATTCCACCCCAATGGAGAGAGTAAGAAACGCTGGGATGTCTGTGATGGAGGAAACACATGAAATCTAGGATGAAATTGTGCCCGTGTGAAAGCATTCACTTGGGTGGTGGGCAGTATTTTGTTTGTGGAGGACACTGGCAGGGCTCTTGGACATGTTCATGGTGCTCACTATAACCTGCAATGTCATTGGAAGGAGGGCCTTTGGTGTCTCCTGAGCAGTGGGAGCTAAAGTAGGAGCTTGTTTGTGTAAGTGGACACCCCATGCGCATACACATACATATTTTCACTTTTATTATCTGTATAGATAGATTAGGTCTGGAGCATGAAATGTTGCTACAACTGCTGTGAAATTCTCTCCTGTGCCTCTTCTTGCAGCCTGCTAAGAATCCTTACCAGCAGCATTTTTGGCATTGCACTTATTCAAAAGTCTTTAAGTCTCCACCCTGTGAATCTTCTTCAGATCAGATTAAGGCTTCTCAAGAAATGCTTTCTCTCCAGCTAAGAATATTTTAATTCTTAGTTCAGCTAAGAACGTTTTAGCCTTCCTTCTTCGGGCTTTTGGATTCCTCATTGTATCCTAACATCCGTGGGCTTTATTTACAGTACGAAAAGTTACAGACACTATTTAAATAAGCAGCTTACACTTTTAATGATTTGTTTTAAAAACTTTATAGCTTGCCTCGGAGGATAAAATGTGCCCAGATGCTGCAGAGACATCAAACCATAACACACAATAAATATTATAAGACATATCGAAGGTGTAACCATTTCAACATCATCATTTACCGCCTATGCAAAGCAAAAAGAGAAGTCTTTAGGGCTCGAGGGATGGCTTGCAATTTGAGAAGTCGACTGGAAAAGATCTTGAACGAGGAAATTGCAAATGAAGACTAAAACGTGAAAGTGCTGCATTGGATTACATTTAGAAATTCCACTCCATTACCAGAGGCAAGAACAAAAACCATGGCTTCATGACATACTACAGTAGACTCTCAGTTAAACAGAAATCTCAAACAATCAGCAAACATTGAAGAAATAATACTTTATTGCATACTGCATTCACAAAGCCATTTCTATGATACAGTATTATCTTGAATTACATCAAGTTGTCTCTGTCTTTATTCGACTTCATTTGCTTTTAATTGCTATATTTCCAATATTAATATCAAGTCAAAACAGAGTTTATGGTATGATATAGTATGGTATATAGTATTAGTCAGGCCTATATTTAATCATAACTCTCAACCAACCAGAAACTACATGCAGAAACTAGGCCTGTTTGATCAAGAAAAAATTTGTTTCTAAAATCGATTTGTAATTGGGGTGTTTTTTTGTTT